AGAATCACTGGTATGCTGATGGAGGATGATCCGGATTGCTTTAAGCTTGGAGCATTACTCAGCCTTCACCACATGTGCTTGTGGATTGTATAAAACACTTGAGTGCCTTGCAGACAGTCTATGTGTAAGCCCCAACCAGTACAACAGACATGTGAGAGCAGATTTGTTACACCCAGCCTCAGTCAGCTTGCAAGAACCCAGTCCCGCTTCTAATGATCATTTTCTCAGACCTCTCTGCCTCCATTCCTGACAGCCCCCCAGTTACAGCCCAGTATACCCTGCCATCAACCAGCCTGTCAGTACCCCTGTTCCCACTGCTGCACGCTATCCAGCCTTTTATGTAAAGAAGTTCTCTGTAGCATCTGCTCCCTTCTCTGTTCCATCCTTCAGCTCTTCTCTGTCTTCAGCTGCTCCCTCCGTTTACAGCCCTGAATTCATGCTTCAGTATTAAACCCAAGAAGAAGCGAAAATTCTTTCCAACTGTACCATCCTGCCAGTATCCAAATCGGTGCCCTGTGGTCTGAGAACCCACCTTCTGTTATTCAGCCTGATGCCCCAATGCCTGCTATCCAGCCTGATGCCTTGATCACTGTTATCCAGCCTGATGCCTTGATGCCTGTTATCCAGCCTGATGCCCCGATGCCCGCTGTCCATTATCCAGCCTGATGCCCCGATGCCCGCTATCCAGCCTGATGACCCGCTGCTTGTTAACCAGCCTGATGCCCTGACCTGCTATCCAGCCTGATGACCAACCCAGCCTGTCCATGCCAGATGACCTACACGCTAGCCTGCCAGATGACCCAGTGCCTGCTGCCCCCTCGGTGCCTGCTGCCCAGATGCCCTGATGCCTGATGACCCAATGTACGTTACCCAGCTGATGATCCTACCCAGCCCGATGATCCTACCCAGCCTGATGATGCTACCCAGCCCGCAGCAGCCCGATGACCCGGTGCCTGCTGCCCAGCCCGATGTGCCTGCTGCCCAGCCCGATGTGCCCGATGTGCCAGCCCCTGATTCCCAGCCTGCTTCTGAAAATCCTGTGTCCAGCAACCTGCCTTCCTGCGGTCTCCTACAAAAAGATAGGTCTACCAGCAGGAAACCCAGCCAGTCGCTTGACTCTGGCAGTGGGATATCCGGCCAGTTACCTGACCTGGGCAGTGGAACATTTTGGCCATTAAGGACTGTTTGGAGTGTCATGAGGCCGCTCCTTGGGGGTACTGTCAGGAATGGGCTCACCTGCCGTGTGGGCTGCAGTACCGGTCCTTGCCAGTGGGTGCTTTTCAGCAGCCAGGATCTCACCTCCTGCAATCAAACCATCACCTGAGGCTGATTGCAAGAGTTGTATTTAAGCAGTAGCCAGTCCTGCAGTCAGTGCCTTGGTGTATCCTTGAGCCTCTGCTAACCTGCTACCTGCCCCGTGTATGACCCCGGCTGGCCTGACTACTCTTGTTGCTGTTTGTGTTTGTATTGGGTGTAGGGTTTATTATTTAGTTGTTGTTGTTGCACTGTGCATTGTTACTGTGTCTTACAAATAAATGGTATTATTTTTATTACTCCTGAAGCCTGGTGTTCCCTATGTCAGTCCACACATTTCTGGTCATACCCAAGGTTCTGACACTCTTCTTCCTTAAATGCAAAAAACTAAAAAAGATTTGCAGTATGCGTGTGTAATATGTTTGCCTCTGACATAACCCACCATATATTTTCTTTCTGGATAAAAAGTACCTTGTCTCTCACTATTTATATGTGGCCTGCTTAAACCGCTTAATTATGTGCACTGTATCTGTGTAATATTTCTGGATCTTGTCTCTAACATAATACATTTTCTTCCTGGATAAAAAGTGACTTGTCTCTCCCTCATCAAATATGAACTAATAAAAAAGGCTTACATGATGAGCAATGTGCATGTGTAATACTTTACTGGACACCGATAGACAATATTTCTATGGATACTGATTTTGGAAGATTTTTTCCTCCAACCGACACCAACATAGAGTCATTCTTCCTACACTGACAACTTGTAACCAAACAATCTTCCCAATACTGTATATACTGTATACCAATGCTAGGGCATTCTTCCTAATACTGACAATCTTTTTCACATCACCAACACCAGGTTATTCTTCATCCCAGTGTCCACAAATGATGGGGCATTCTTCTCCCTCTGTGCAGGGGCACTGTTCATCCTTCTGGCCCCGATAGAGCATTATTTCTTCTATGGTCATTTATCCTTCCAATAAGAAGGCCATATAGCCATTGTACACACGTGTACACACACACACACACACACACACACACACACTGACCACTGGCAATGAGGCATTCTTCCTGTTATAGACATATAGACATTGATACCTGAGTACTCCTCATTCAAATGCTAGTACAGGATCAATTCTTCAATCAACGATCTATTAATGCCATTGCATGCTTTAGCCCTCAGGTGTTAAACTAGCGGTCCTCCAGCTGTTGCCAAACTACATGTCCCATGAAACATTGCAAGATTGAGAATTACAAGCATTACTCCCAAGGTAGAGGCATGATGGGACTTTTTCGCAATAGCTGGAAGTCCGCCAGTGTGACACCCCTGCTTTAGCCCATCTAAATTGTTTTCCTTTTATCCTCAAATATCTCTTTACCCTTCCATGTTCTTCTTAGCCTTGATGGTTTGATCACTCTGACTTCAGTAAATGCTTAGCATAGGTCTGTACTCCAAAACAGGTTGGTCATTAAGCATTTGCCAGTAATACATTTTTGTTTAACTTGTGTTTTAAGTTTCAATTAAATGTTTGTGGAGCTTTCATCTTCTTTACTTGCATATTATATTTCAAGGACCTAGTATACGGTAATGGCACACTGAAAAGCTGCCATGTTAACCATTACCAGGCATATTCTGGGCACTTACCAGAGAAGTCAAAGTCCAGCACCCCAACAGCATATTTTTACCCCTCCTTAAAGGCCCCCCCCCCCCCCGGTATACCTGCCCTTAATCTATCCATTATCACATACTGTATGTGCTCCAATTTTGGAGGCTCTCACAAAAGAGTTAGGACTGCTGATATACTGGGGTGCTGTGAAGTGACCTCTGCAGCTAATGCATGTATTTCCAAATGCAAACTAAACCCCTTGTTTTAACATGAACTGTTGGATGGGGCAATCTGGTCTGTTGCAGGCTGCCTGGGCTAGGAATTTTTGTTTGTTGTTTTTTGACATGCATTGCCCTTCCATGTGCTCCTTGCTGCATAGGTTAGTTACATTTGTTTGTTCTGTTAGACTCGGCATTCTGCATGTTGTACTTCAGTGTTGATTATTTTTATATAACTCACCATCATGGATTTCTTTTCTTGACTTTTGGGATTCTTCTGGAGAAACACTGAAAAAAAGAGATATTTAACTACGAGAACCCAAGCTCATTTATTATTGGGTGATTCATGCGAGTAAAAAATAAAGGTTACTTCAATTCATGACATTAGGTTATAAAATATATCAGACGAAAACAAAAAAAAAACATTGACCACTTGCCTACTGGCCACTTTTACCCCCTTCCAGTCCAAGCCAATTTTCAGCTTTCAGCACTGCCACACTTTGAATGACTATTGCGCGGTCATGCAGCACTGTACCCAAATACAATTTTTATCTTTTTTTTTAGACCAATACAGCTTTCTTTTGGTGGTATTTAATCACCACTGGGTTTTTTATTTTTTGCTAAACAAACAAAAAAATACCAACAATTTGGGGAAATCGCTCAGTTTCTGTTATAAAATTTTGTAAAGAAGTAATTTTTTTCTGTCATTGACATGCGCTGATGAGGCTGCACTGATAGGTGGCACTGATAGAGGAGGCGGCACTGATGTGGAGACACTGATAGAAGATGGCAGCACTGATGGGAGACACTGGTAGGTGGCATGATGATATGTGGCTCTGATGGTCACTGATAGGTAGTACTGATAGGCACTGACAGGTGGCACTGACAGTTAGCACTGATGGAACACTGATAGGCGGCCCTGATGGGCACTGATAGGCGGCACTGATTGAAACTGAAAGGTGGCACAGATAGGTGGCCCTGATGGGTACTAATAGACTGCATGATGAGGGGGCACGGATAACCAGCACTGATGGGTATTGTCAGGCATCACTGATGGGCACTGATAGGCAGCACTGATAGACAGCATTGATGTACACTGAGAGGCATCACTGATGGGCACTGAAAGGCAGCACTCATGGACACTGATGATCAGTGTCCTGATTATCAGTGTAGATGTCCCCTCTGAGGATTGCTGCTTATTGGCTCTCTGTCAGCACGAGGATGACTGCCAATAACCACATTTCCTGTTTACATGTGATCAACTGTGATTGGACAAAGCTAATTACATGGTACAGAGCCTATTATTATTATTATATTATTATACAGGATTTATATAGCGCCAACAGTTTGCTCAGTGCTTTACAATATAACGAGAGACAATACAGTTCAATACAGTTCAATACAAGAGAAAGGAGGGCCCTGATCCTTGGAGCTTTCAATCTAGGAGGGAGGGGCTAGTGGTACAAAAGGTAGTAACTGTGTGGGATGGACTGATAGGAGGAGTAGAAGACTCCATTATTAGCTGAGGGCAGGATAGGCTTCCCTGAAGAGAGAGGTTTTCAGAGATCGCCTAAAAGTGAGCAGAGTAGGCGATAGTCTGATAAATTAGGGTAGAGAGTTCCATAGGATGAGGGAAGCTCTGGAAAAGTCCTGGAGATGAGCATGGGGGGAGGAGGAGACAAGGGAGCTAGAGAGCAGGAGGTCTTGCAAGGAGCGAAGAGTACGGTTTGGGTGATATTTAGAGACAAGATCATTGATGTAATTTGGGGCGGAGTTATAAATGGCTTTATACGTTATTGTTAATGTTTTGAATTTTATCCGTTGGGCAATGGGAAGCCAGTGGAGGGATTGGCAGAGAGGGATGGAGGACACTGAGTGGAGGTCAGTGGAGGGATTGGCAGAGAGGGATGGAGGACACTGAGTGGACGTCAGTGGAGGGATTGGCAGAGAGGGATGGAGGACACTGAGTGGAGGTCAGTGGAGGGATTGGCAGAGAGGGGTGGAGGACAGTGAGTGGAGGTCAGTGGAGGGATTGGCAGAGAGGGATGGAGGACACTGAGTGGACGTCAGTGGAGGGATGAGAGAGGGATGGAGGACACTGAGTGGAGGCCAGTGGAGGGATTGGCAGAGAGGGGTGGCAGATACAGAACAGTTGTAAGGTGGATGAGTCTGGCAGCAGCATTCATGATAGACTGAAGAGGGGATAGCCTGCGATGAGGTCGGCCAATGAGGAGGGAGTTATAATAGTCAAGGCAAGAAATAACAAGGGAGTGAATAAGTTGCTTAGTGGTTTTCGAGGTTAGGAACAGGAGTATCTTGGAGATGTTGCGGAGGTGAAGTCTACAAGATTTGGACAGGGATTGGATTTGGGGGTGAAAAGACAGATGGGAGTCTAGGATTACACCTAGTACCCTGGCATGAGGGGAGGGACTGATGACTGTATTATTGATCTTGATGGAGAAGTCAGGGGAGGGGGCACAGGTGGGGGGGAATACTAAGAGCTCAGTTTTGGAAAGATTGAGTTTGAGGAAGTGGAGTGAAATCCATGCCGATATGTTGCTTAGTAGGTTAGTAATGTGAGAGGAGACTGAAGGGGTGAGGTGAGGGGTAGAAAGATAGATATGTGTGTCATCAGCATAGAGATGGTACTTAAAGCCATGGGAGTTTATCAAGTGACCAAGGGAGGAGGTGTAGATAGAGAAGAGAAGGGGTCCAAGGACAGAACCTTGAGGGACCCCTACATAAAGAGGGAGTGACGAGGAAGTGGCAACGTTATAGGTAACGCTGAAGGAGCGCTGCGATAGGTAGGAGGAGGACCAGGAAACAGCAGAGTCCCTGAGGCCAAGAGAGTGGAGTTTTTTGAGGAGGAGGGGATGGTCAACCGTATCAAAAGCCGCAGAGAGGTCAAGTAGTAAGAGTATGGAGTAGTGGCCATTGGTTGGGATGAGTACAGAGTAGTGGCCATTGGTTTTAGCTGTTAGTAGATCATTAGTGAGGTTTAGTAGGGCAGTTTCAGTGGACTGTAGTGAGTGAAATGCAGACTGTAAAGGGTCAAGAAGGTTGTTGTCGGTGAGGTAGGAGCTCAGGCGATTGTAGATTAAGCGTTCTAGGAGTTTAGAGCTAAATGGCAGCAGGGAGATGGGTCTTAAGTTGTTCAGGTTGTTGGGGTCCAGGGAGAGCTTTTTAAGTATAAGAGTTATGTGCGCATGCTTTAGAGGGGAGGGGAAGGCACCAGTAGAGAGGAAAAGATTGAAGATGTGAGTGAGGGAGCATAGGATGGAAGAAGAGGGTGACCGTAGTAGTTGTGAGGGGACAGGATCCAGGGGGCAGGTAGTGAGACGGGCTTCTGAGAAAACCTTAGTGACCTCTTCGGTAGTAGCGAGGTCAAAAGAGGAAAGTGTTGAGGGAGGTTTAGTATAAGGTATGATAAGTGGGATGGATGTCTGTGCAGTGGCGATGCCCTTACGAATTGCGTCAATCTTGTTTTTGAAATTATTTACAATCTCGTAAGCAGTGAGTGAGGTGCTGGGTGGAGGTGGAGAAAGTAGAGAGTTAAAAGTAGAGTAGAGACGACGAAGACTGGATGACAAGGTATTAACTAGTTGCCGACCGCAGATAGCCGAATGACGGCTGCACTGCGGCCGGCCAGTTCTGAGTGGACGTCATATGACGGCCTCCCAGAACGCGCTCTCCTGCGCGCCCCAGGGGGGAGCGCACCCGGCGATCTCCGTGATCGCTGTGTCCTACGGACACAGCTGATCACGTGATGTGGTAAAAGGCCGATCACAGCGGCCTTTTACCACGTGATCAGAGGTGTCCAATGACACGCTGATCAGAGGGAAATGCAAGTGCCGGTTCTCGGCTGCACTTTCCTCACGCTGTCAGATCGTGAGGAAAGTACTGCCGAGAACCGGCAGTTGTCAGAGCGGGGATCGGCACCGATCATCAGGGCACTGATGATCAGTGCCCTGATGATCGGTGCCCAGCAGTGCCACCCGCAAGTTCCGCCCACCTGTGCCCAGCAGTGTGCCCACTAGCTCCGCCCACCCGCCCACGTCATATGACGGCCTCCCAGAACGCGCTCTCCTGCGCGCCCCAGGGGGAGCGCACCCGGCGATCTCCGTGATCGCTGTGTCCTACGGACACAGCTGATCACGTGATGTGGTAAAAGGCCGATCACAGCGGCCTTTTACCACGTGATCAGAGGTGTCCAATGACACGCTGATCAGAGGGAAATGCAAGTGCCGGTTCTCGGCTGCACTTTCCTCACGCTGTCAGATCGTGAGGAAGTACTGCCGAGAACCGGCAGTTGTCAGAGCGGGGATCGGCACCGATCATCAGGGCACTGATGATCAGTGCCCTGATGATCGGTGCCCAGCAGTGCCACCCGCAAGTTCCGCCCACCTGTGCCCAGCAGTGTGCCCACTAGCTCCGCCCACCTGTGCCCAGCAGATCACACACCTGTGCCCAGTAGTGCACCCACCTGTGCCATTCTGCAGTGTCACACACCTGTGCCCAGAAGTGCCACCTACCTGTGCCCAGCAGTGCCACCCACCTGTGCCCACCAGTGCCACCCACCTGTGCCCACCCACCAGTGCTGCCCACCAGTGCCACCCACCAGTGCTGCCCAGCAGTGCTGCCAGTCAGTGCCGCCAGTCAGTGCCCAGGGGTTGTGCCAGTCAGTGCCGTCTATCAGTACCCATCATCAGTGCCGCCTATCAGTGCTGCATATTAGTGCCGCCTATCCGTGACACCTCATTAGTGCTATCAGTGCCGCCTATCCGTGCCACCTCATTAGTACTGCCTATCAGTGCCCTTTAGTGCTGCCTATCAGTGCCCATCAGTGTGCCTATCAGTGCCCATCAGTGCTGCCTCATCAACGCACATAAGTGAAGGAGAAAAAAAAAACTGTTTGAAAAATTTTATAATAGAAACAAAGAAACTTTTTTTTTTTTCAAATTTTTTGCAATTTTTTTATTTATAGCGCAAAAAGTAAAGTGCCCAGTGGCGATTAAATATCACCAAAAGAAAGCTCTATTTGTGAGAAAAAAATGATCAAAATTTCATATGGGTACAATGTTGCATGACCGCGCAATTGTCAATCAAAGTGCGGCAGCGCTGAAAGCTGAAAATTGGCCTGGTAAGGAAGGGGGTATAAGTGCCTGGTAGGCAAGGGGTTAATAAGAGTGACAAAGTCGGCTTGTTTGGCAGCATGAAGGGAGGACTTGTATGTTAAGAAAGCAAATTTATATTGGGTGAATGCTTGCTGGGATTTGGTTTTATGCCACAATCGCTCCATTGCACGACTATGTTGTTTAAGATTTCTGGTGTGGTCAGTCTGCCAAGGTTGTAATGGGCGGGGCCTGATGCTTCATGTTGTTAGAGGAGCAAGTGAGTCCAATGTGGATGATAGCAAACGGTTGTAGACAGCAGTGGCCAGGTCAGGGCAGGACATGGGAGAGATTCTGTCATAGAGTTGGTCATTTGCAGAGTGGAAAGGAGCCGGGTTCAAGTTGTGAAGGTTTCTGCGGGTAATTGTTTGCTGCTTGGAGGGATAGGTGTTTGAAGACGAAGACACTGTGAAGGCGATGAGATTGTGATCAGAGAGAGGAAAGGGGGTGTTTGTGAGGTTGTAGGGAGTGCAAAGATGGGAGAAAACAAGGTCTAATGTATTCCCATCAGAGTGAGTGGAGGACGGTATACATTGTGCTAATGTAAAAGATGAGGTTAGGTTGAAGAGTTGGGATGTAGCCGGGTTGTTGACATTAATGGGGATGGTAAAATCTTTGAGAATGATAGCGGGTGGTTCATAGGAGAGAAAGTAGGGTAGCCAGGTGGAGAAATCATCAAGAAAGTGGGACACGGGTCCAGGAGGCTGATAGATCACTGCAATCCTCAGAGAAATGGGAGAAAACAGCCGGATGCAGTGAGTCTGGAAAGAAGAGAAGGATAGAGAGGGAGGGTTAGGGGGGACTTGAAAGGTGCTGAGTGGGGATAGAAGCAAACCAACCCCCCCACCTTTCCGACCACTGGGTCTGGGTGAGTGGGTCCAGATGAGACCTCCATAGGAAAGTACTGCGGGAGAAGCAGAATCTGCTGCTTGGAGTCAGGTTTCTGTAATTGCTAGTAAGTTACGGGAGCGGGAGACAAAAGGTCATGGACAGAGGTGAGCTTATTACAGACAGAGCCGGCATTCCAGAGCACACATGAAAAAGGGAGGGTGGTTTTTTTGGAGCACCGGGACTGATGTTAAATTGAGGGGATTGCAGCTATTCCCGGAAGAAAGAGGATGCCTGGTGTGGGGGTGAAATAGTGGAGGACCAGGGTTTGTGGAGATATCCCCAGAGGTTAGGAGAAGAAGAAGGGTGAGGAAAGTAACATGGGAGGGGGATGTACACGAGTGCACATGCCTTCCAGTCCTGGTGTTTGGGTCAGCAGGAGGTGATGAGAGCAGTAGTAAGGAGATGGTAGCAGTGAGGGTGAGATGTACAAGTTTTGGGGTGGAGCAGAGGGGTAAAGAAGTGAGATTTTGGGAGCGTGGGAAAGTAATATGAAAAGGAGGAGTAGAGGGGACATATTAAATGCACACGGAGTGGGACTCAGACTTGTAAGAGATGTTTCCCGGGGTGTTTGCTTGCAATCTGTCCAGCATGCAGTAGAGTTTCTTGCTGTTGTTGTATCTTCCTGCTGCTTGAGTTATCCTGCTTTAGTTAAACTGCTGTGTTCAACTGCGTCTTAGCACTCCATCAAAGCACGATTCCCACAAAAGCAGCACCCCATCTGTGACTATGCCCCCCATCTGTGATCCCCCCCCCCCCCCATGAGCTGATCTAAATATATAGGGAGATGATCAAATGATCACTCTTCTCCGCCCCAAGTAGGAACTGATAAGGATCACATGAATGGGGGGGATGTTTCTCAAACACAGACCAGACACAGTCATAAAAAGAGTGCAACTAGAGGTGAGAAGTAATCAACATATACAAAATATATACACTATTTGTTCTGAATTTAACAGGAGTCAATGTGTGGAGAGGAGATAGCAGCATTAACCCAGAAAACAGGAGTCTATGCGTAATCCACTGTATCTGACGGTCGCACCTGTGCGACTAGAGTGGGAGGACATCATATGACCTCCTCCCAGATCAAAAGAGCTCCCGCCGGTAAGGAAATGTGTCTTATTAACTGTCATTCATTTTGTATAATGCCTCCATTTCTAGATGTGTGAACAGTTAGTATAACTTTTCTCTCGTTTTCTGAGACTAGTTTAATTTCTAATGAAACAAATCTCTCTTATATGGTATTCCTCAGTTTCTGTTCTTCACGTAACTATATTGATAAGAATAGAACGTTTCATTGCTCATCCTGAGATTAAGCCACGCCCTCTGAGTTCTATACAACCGTTCTTGCCATGCATTAAACTTTCAGAGATTTAACTTGCACACTTCGGTGTCTGGAGCTTTATTTCTCCCGGGCCTGGAGGGGAAAATAACGAGGACAGGGGCTACAGACATAGGCTGATTCCTATCACTGCCTGTCCGTCATTTCCCAATACTATGGGCAGGAGGTGTTTAAAAAAAAAAAAAAAAAAAATTAAAAACAAAAACCTCTGCAATCCATGCCCATGTTCCCAATAATGCAAATTCCTTAATTGTGCGAGCACCCTGTGATGAGTGTAACAATGTGTACAACATCCATAATAAAGAGCATTGAAAATATCAATGTTTGAAGAACCAGTGTGCAAAATCACTGATATGTAATGATTGATGAGCTCCATTGTTCATGGAGGTGTGACAAGCACAGTAAATAATGTACAAAGTTGTCCGATTAGAAAATCTGTCAGAATTCAGTTCTGCACGCACTCTTTTCTTGTTTTTAGGTATTTCAACAAAAAGTCATGGGGAGCTGCACACTGCAATACAGACAAAGAACAAAGAAAACAAAACTGTTTTTAATACTGTACATTGGGGAGAGGGTCTTGTATGCTTCCCAAGTGGTGCATGGAAAAACTACAAATGATATTAAAGCAGTGTGGAAAATAATTGTCCTGTGACAACACAGTTTTAATGTTTTGACTATTCTCCGATCCCAGAGGACGCCATTTTTAGAGAAACACACGTTGGGGCGGAGCTTTCTGTGACGTCACCTCATTCTGGCCGATGGTCTGACACCGCGGGAATTTAAAATGTTTACACTGCCTTTATGCACCTTATCTATGTAAATGCAATACTTTAATACATTCTTTGCTGGTTAATTGGGTCGCACTATGAAGTTTAATTCTTCTGTTTTTAAACCTTTCCTTGCATGATGTGGAGAGCCGTCTGATGTGATGGATTCATTCAAGTGAACCTGCACTTGTCCATTCATCTCCTTGATCTGGATAACTAGGGTGTCAGTGTGGGACACTCTTTCTTTAGCACACAGAGCTGTGTTATTGGATTTGGGGACTTTTAATTATCCACTTGAGCTCCAAAGGATTTACCCCCCTTAATGACCACGCCTTTTTTTGCTGTTTGGCGCTGCACTAATTCAAATGATAATTGCGCGGTCATGCAATGCTGTACCCAAACGAAATTTACATCCTTTTTTTCACACAAATAGAGCTTTCTTTTGGTGGTATTTGATCACCTGTGTGCTTTTTATTTTTTGCGCTATAATCAAAAAAAATACGAAAAATTTGAACAAAACCAATATTTTCTACTTTTCAGCTATAAAAAAATATATAGTAAACTCAAAGTTAGTCATAAATTTAAGCCAAAAATGTATTCTGCTCCATGTTTTTGGTAAAAAAATCCTGTGCATTAGCGGGCAAACTGGCGCTATCTAGGAGGGGCGCTAACACTATCGGAAGTCACCAGTGACACTAATACAGTGATCAGTAAAAATCTGTTCACTGTAATCAATGACACTGGTGACAGGGCAGTGAAGGGGTTAACTGGGGGGGGGGAGGGGGGCGATCAAGGGGTTAAATGGGATTTTCTGGTGCACTAGCGGGCAAACTGGCACTATCTGGGAGGGGCGCTAACAGTATCTGGAAGTCGCCAGCGACACTGATACAGTGATCAGTAAAAATCGCTTCACTGATCAATGACACTGGTGACAGGGCAGTGAAGGGGTTAACTGGGGGGGGGTATCAAGGGGTTAAACGGGATTACTGGTGTACTGGCGGGCAAACTGGCGCTATCTGGGAGGGGCGCTAACTCTATCGGAAGTCGCCAGCGACACTGATACAGTTGATCAGTAAAAATCGCTTCACTGATCAATGACACTGGTGACAGGGCAGTGAAGGGGTTAACTGGGGGGGCGATCAAGGGGTTAAACGGGATTACTGGTGTACTGGTGGGCAAACTGGCGCTATCTGGGAGGGGCGCTAACACTATCGGAAGTCGCCAGCGACACTGATACAGTGATCAGTAAAAATTGGTTCACTGATCAGTGACACTGGTGACAGGGCAGTGAAGGGGTTAACTGGGGGGGGGGGCGATCAAGGGTTAGACGGGACTACTGGTGTATTAGCAGGCAAAACTGGCGCTATCTGAGAGGGGCGCTAACTCTATCGGAAGTCGCCAGCGACACTGATCAGTAAAAATTGCTTCACTGATCAGTGACACTGGTGACAGGGCAGTGAAGGGGTTAACTGGGGGGGGGGGGCGATCAGGGGGTTAAATGTGACCTAGGTGTGTTCTAACTGTAGGTATGTGCTGTTTTACTCACTGTTAGTATGTCTTCTTCTCTGTCTGGAACGGAATGTGTCCAGGCAGAGAAGAATGACATCATATCCTGCCCTGTGTAAATGTCAACACAGGACAGGATAGGACAGGGACCGATCATCCGATTTCAGCCAGAAATCACTGGCTGAAATCTAATGATTGATCCCTCCTGGATCAAATTGTATCACCCGCGGGTCGGCGGGAGCACGCGTGCGCGCCCCCTACCTCGCGAATGTTTCAGGAGCGCGAGCATGTTTTAAAACGTGCTTTTGCTCTCCACTGCCGCCCTACACACGTATATACACAGTGGCAGGGCGGCAAGCGGTTATTTAATGTATGAATGTGGACTTGTATCATTTCAATTAATTTATGCACTCTTTTTATGTATGTAGCAGCATTTGATTGATTATTGTTTATGATTATTTAGTGTACAGCGCACTCATTTTATGTTTTGTACTTTCAGGTGTTCAGGGAAAGAGTAGCAGCAGTTCACTACTTGTTTTACTATTGTTTCAGAATATATTTGTTTCACTCATTAATTCACACATTGTATTGTTTGGGGTGTAATGCAGTTTTTTTCCCACTTTTTTCAGTTTTAATGTTTCTCTAGAGAAATTAGGAGACTGCATATGACAAAGCAATGTACAGAGTTTCCCAGAGGCAGAACAGTTCAACTGAGCAAGACTAAGTCGAAATGTACAAGAGACAGAGCACAGGCAATTGTTTTCATTCAAGAATTAACAGAAGACACATTTTAACCCCTCGCCTTCCAGAGGATTTCCCCCCTCTTCCTGACCAGGCCATTTTTTGTGATACGGCGCTGCATTACTTTAAACTGACAATTGTGCGGTCGTGCAACACTGCACCCAAATTAAATTTACATCTTTTTTTTCCCACAAAGATTTCTTTCAGTGGCATTTGATCGCCTGTGTGGTTTTTATTTTTTGCGCTATAAAAAAAAAGTTCCAACAATTTTGAGAAAAATACAGTATTTTTGACTTTTTGCTAATAAACCTATCCAGTAAAAAAAACCGTAAAAATCATATTTCATCATAAATTTTGGCCAAAATGTATTCTGCTCCGTGTCTTTGCTAAAAAAAAATCCCAATACGTGTAAATGAATTGGTTTACATGAAATTTATAGCTTTTACAAAAATGGCGGTATATGTACTGGGATTTTTTATTTTTACTAGAAATGGTGACGATCAGCGACTTATAACGGGACTGCGGTGGACATTCTGACACTGGAAGGAGCTGACTTGGTGTCACTGACATTTTAGTGACACCAATACAGTGATCAGTGCTAATAAAAAGCACACTATACTAATGGCACTGGGCAGGGAGGGGTTAACATCTGGGGCAATCAAAGGGTTAACTGTGTGCTGTTTTACAATGTGCTCTGTGTTTGTGATTCATTGTAAGCACACTGCTATGCAGAACCATGCAAATCAGGTGTGCAGATCTGACAGGGAGAGAATTGTTTTGTTTACTAAACATTGGCCAGCAGCAGGCCTGTATAGACAGGAATACAAAACCATCTTCATGCTTAACCATCTGCCTGGAGTTTAGCTGTAACACAGTAACTATCCTATAATCCTGAACTCACTCACCTGTACATAGCGTTTTCAGAGGATGTATGCTCTTCATCTGAAAAATCTACATAGTTTTCATCTGATTCCATTTCTATATCACTGTCAATATGGGGCTTGTCATTTTGCAGGGGTTCTGTCTGTGATGAGGTGTCAGGTTCAGCTTTGGATTCCTCAGAGGAGGAGTCATATTCTTGCTGTAGATTGGTCTCTTGTGGACTTGCTTTGTAGGTGTCAGCGTTGCTTTGCTTATGTGGAACATCCTCAGTTTTCTCATTTTGGCTTTCTTCATACATACGTGAAGTGCTGTGATGTGACTCCGGAGTCATCAGGAATTTTGTCACATGGAGGGATGTTGGGTTCTTCCATCTCATCACCTGGAGTTTGATGGAATATGCCCAGAAATATCAAGGTTTTGTTTAAGATACGAACCGTTTAAAGCCAAACATACAAAACATGACAAAAAATGACTACATCAAATGAACATGCTGTGGCGAGGCACATTTGTTTTCGGGAAGAAGTTCTCTCAAGCTATTCAGAAACAACATGCTGATAAAATTGGAGCACAGATATACACTCACCGGCCACTTTATTAGGTCCACCTTGCTAGTGCCAAGGAAATCTCCACCCACACCATGACACCACCAGCCTGAACCATTGATACAAGGCAGGATGGATCCCCCACACCATGACACCACCAGCCTGAACCATTGATACAAGGCAGGATGGATCCCCCACACCATGACACCACCAGCCTGAACCATTGATACAAGGCAGGATGGATCCACCACACCATGACACCACCACCAGTGTGAACCAATGATACAAGGAAGGATGGATCCACCACACCATGACACCACCACTAGCCTGAACCACTGATACAAGGCAGGATGGATCCCCCCCACACCATGACACCACCACCACCACCAGCCTGAACCACTGATACAAGGCAGGATGGATCCCCCCACACCATGACACCACCACCACCAGCCTGAACCACTGATACAAGGCAGGATGGATCCCCCCACACCATGACACCACCAGCCTGAACCACTGATACAAGGCAGGATGGATCCCCCCACACCATGACACCACCACCACCAGCCTGAACCACTGATACAAGGCAGGATGGATCCCCCCCCACCATGACACCACCACCACTAGCCTGAACCAGTGATACAAGGCAGGGTGGATCTCCCCACACCATGACACCACCACCACCAGTTTGAACCATTGATACAAGGCAGGATGGATCCACCCACACCATGACACCACCACCACCAGCCTGAACCATTGATACAAGACAGGATGGATCCCCCACACCATGACACCACCACCAAAGCTGAACAGTTGATACAAGACAGGATGGATCCCCCCACACCATGACACCACCACCACAAGCCTGAACCATTGATACAAGGCAGGATGGATCCCACCACACCATGACCACCACCAGCCTGAACCACTGATACAAGGCAGGATGGATCCCCCACACCATGACACCACCAGCCTGAACCATGATACAAGGCAGGATGGATCCACCACACCATGACACCACCACACCAGACTGAACCATTGATACAAGGAAGGAAGGATAGATCCCCACACCATGACACCACCACAACAGACGCCTGAACCATTGATACAAGGCAGGATGGATCCCCCACACCATGATACCACCACCACCAGCTTGAACCAGTGATACAAGGCAGGATGGATCCATGCTTTCATGTTGTTTACGCCAAATTCTGACCCCACCATATGAACGTTGCAGCAACCAGTCTGCCCATTCTCCTCTGACATTAACAAGGCATTTTCCTCCACAAACTGCCACTCACTGGTTGTGTGGGAAAATCCCAGTAGATCAGCAGTTTTTGACATACTCAGACCAGCCCGTCTGACAGCAACAACCATGCCACATTCAAAGTCACTTAAATCCCCTTTTTTCCCTATTCTGATGCTCGGTTTGAACTTCAGCAAGTCGTCTTCACTACTTCTACATGCCTAAATGCAATGAGTTGCTGGCATGTGATTGGCTGATCAGCAATTTGTGTTACCAAGTAATTGAACAGGTGTACCTAATAAAGTGGCCGGAGAGTGTAAGTCCCTGTAATCAATGCATAAAATAAACATAATAAAGATTTGTATAGTTTTCATTAGATCTATCGTTATTTACAGTGTGTAATTCTAGAGCCTGCTTGATTTTGTACAGATAAGTGGTTTGTTTAGGTCCGTCATCATATTGAATAGCTATGGTAAATCTAAAAAAGAATTTAGAGTTAAACAAGACAATAGTCTCTAGAACACTCATTTCCCACCCGCCACCCACTTATACCCACCTTTACAGCTCAGGAGACTCTCACTTACTTCTGAGTGGGCGAAGTGTAAGTCTCTCTAGGCGAGGGTGAAGCTCTCTTCGCTAATGCAGTCAAATCCCAAAATCTGTTCGGTCTTCTTGTAAAATGTTCCTTCCAGCTCCCACTGCAGGTGCAACGCTCTCCTGTCTGTGAGTCCTCTGGAGCTGCTCCTCTACTGCAGGAAAAACCTGATATTCTCTGTTCTGTAGAAACGAAAGTACATGAAAATGACACAACCAGGAGTACGTCACAGTGAGCCCAACCTTCTACTAAGGATGTAAACGACCTTTGTCAAGTAGAGATTTCACTGAATGCCATGGAAGAAATAAATTAAAATAAACAGTGTAGCACTAGTAACACTAAAAAAAAAATATATATATATATAATATATATTAAGTGAATCAGTGATTACAATACACAAACTGAATACACATCCCCTAAATATATATACCGGGATGATGAACAAATGAATAAATAGTGTCATGCGTGAATTCCCTCATGGGCAATATCCAGTGCATAGGGTGACAAATACAATCTTAATTCAATATGTGTGAAAAAACATACTAGTGCACAAAATTGGTGAACAAATAACACTGTTCAACAAGTAAAAAGTTTTGGGCATAAAATTAGCTAATCTTACATAATTTTGGGGTGCTGAAAACGAAAATGACCCTAAAAAATGTTGATTGGCTCTAGTTTCCATGATATATTCACCCATCTAATGACGTAAGCCATTCAAAATGATGATGCAACTTCAGCTGCATATTGCGCAATTGATACTGGTGACCAATAGAAAATTGCATGTATACTGAGATGATGCAATATTAGCCTTTAATTGCATCACTTCACTGCATAAAAGCTGCAGTATCTGTAGCTGATTGTAGTTCGTCTTTACATTTCGTTTTATGCTTATATAGGCTACTCAGTAATGCCTCGAACTTGTGTGAATAAAGCAGATAATTTCTGCTATATCTGCGGTGAAATAACTTTTATCTCACAAAAAAGGAGGATAACAGGAATGATTAAGAAAGCCTACAACTTGTATTTTGGCTGCAAGATAGCAGACCAGGACAAGAGCTGGGCACCACATATATGCTGCAATTCTTGTGGGACGGCACTGGAGCAATGGTTGAATGGAAAAAAGGCATCTATGCCTTTCGCTGTGCCAATGATTTGGAGAGAGAGCCAACAGATCATGTTAGTAATTGTTACTTTTGTATGGTGCCTCCAATTGTAAAAGGGCTAAATAAGAAGAAAAAGTTATCTGTGCACTATCCAAATATTCCATCGGCAATACGTCCAGTTCCTCATGGAGAGGGGCTACCAATTCCTAAAGCACCAGAATCCTTCGTGGTTGAGTCAAGTGAGGAAGAACCTGAAGCGTGTAGTCACGTGCAGTTGTAAGAGATAGCCCTTTCCTCGAATACAAGAGAAAAGCCAAGAGAAGCAAAACCGACACAAACTGAAGACCAAACTAGTGAGAATCCTAAGTATTAAAATGATTCAACTTAGCTTATGGCTATAATTTTTCTTGGTAATCCTATGCAATATATTATGCCATTTAGGCTTTGTTATGTAGTCATATCACTTTGCTTTATATTTGTGGAAAGACATCTATCTATATATTTATTGTGCATTATGTAGTCATTACGCCTATAGTAGAAAACTTTCCGTTTACAGAAAAACTAGAGCCAATTGACACATTTCATTGTTATATTTGAACTCAGAATGTGAAATTCATTAAGAAATGGATCCTTTTGTTTCCAAAACTGGCAAAAAATAAAAATTTGTTGAACAGTGTAATCAATTCCAAAGTCCAAAAAATATAATAATAATAATGCGATGCTTTGTGGTGGTACACCCATAGCATGTGGTAGGAAGCTGGAAAAAAAGTTGTTGGTAATATGAGTGGAATTCTTTTATCTAAAATTTGATCTAATAAAACCGGTTGCACTATGGAGGGTCTCTGCTTGTTTCTCATTATGACCCTGGGAGGAGCTGGCTGCTAGTCTGGTGGAGGCTGGAGACGAGAGGGGAAATCCTGAGAGGAACCCATTCTGACAAAGCGTGCTGGCCCTGTGGGGTCTAAGTAAGGCGGCGAGGGGGCATTTGTTAAAGGATTGGCACGTGCGAATCACGCCCACTGCACATTACTTTTGCATGAAGAGTGAAGTGGGAGGACCACCACAAAGCATCGCATTATTATTATTATATTCTTTGGACTTTGGAATTGATTATTTGTTCACCAATTTTGTGCACTAGTATGTTTTTTCACAATATTGAATTAAGATTGTATTTGTCACCCTATGCACTGGATATTGCCCATGAGGGAATTCACGCATGACACTATTATTTATTCATTTGTTCATCATCCCGGGTATATATATTTAGGGGATGTGTATTCAGTTTGTGTATTGTAATCACTGATTCACTTAATATATATAAATATATATATATATATATATAATTTTTTTTTAGTGTTACTAGCGCTACACTGTTTATTTTA